GGGGGGGGGGGGTGCGTTGGTAGAAACAGTTCTCCATGCTGCTACAGGTCTTGCTTGGTGTGCCAAGAATGCATGACCCTGACAGCTGCTTGCTTGGCCATTTCTCAGGGTTGGATTTGCAGCAAGTACCTTGAGGGATGAGGAAATGGCTCCCTTTGGATAAAGCATGCTTGCATACTGCCTGCTATAAAGTGGCAGGTCCCCAAGCTCAGTGTCCCACACTTGTCATGTAACCCTCTGCATGTGCAGGGCCCATTTGGACCCTCCACTTTGTCCCCATGGGGCAAGGGAAACCAACACAGATGGTGATGCTTATGTGGCTTGCTGTGAGTAATAAAGCCTTTTGACTCTGACCCAGGAGTCTAAAGGCTTTTGCCAGCATTTTGGAAACTACTACAGGCTAACTTACTAGCTGGTAAACAGTAAAATCAAAGCCTAGACACAATAGTCAGCTGGGTGGAGGCCAGCTGGGCTGTCAGCCCCTTGGCAACTCCCAAAGGATGGTTGTCAACATTTTCTGATTTTTAGCATTCCAGAATGCCCAAGGTCAGTGCAGCACTTGTGTCTTGTGGGAAAGGCGACCGAGGCACTGCATACTGTGTGCTTAAGGTCGTCTATCTCCTGAGATGTGGTTAAGTTCTAAGGAAACAGTGCACAGCAGGGATTATGGTGTTTATAGGACCAGGGCACTCTGTTCGTGTAAACTTCAGGAAAGAGACTAAACCAGGCCTTGAAGCAGTTGCTTTTCCAATGAGCCGTGTCAGTCCTCAGCCGTGTAGGAGTGTGGGACTCCCATGGAGGGCTGGGTCTCCCTACACCATCTTGACCTCACTGGCTACTAAAGTTGGCATTCAGAAATCTCCCTAAGTTGTAGTGATTAAAACATCAGGGTGTGCTGTGCTAGTGAAGCTTCAAGGAAGAGGAAGCTGATGTCGTAGTGAATGACATCAGTATTGCAGGCCAGTTGGGAACACAAGACTCCTTTTCCTACAAAGGAGAAGATATTGCTTACACCCTTAGGTAGGTTTTTTATTTCTACCTTTTAGGCAGAAATAATGAGGAAACAAGCAGGGGAGGTCAGTGCCATTAGATGCCAGGGGTAGGCAGGGACTGGAGAGGACAGAAGGATGGACATACTCTCATCTTAGGATCTCGCACCTGTTTTTTTCATCCAAGCATTTGTGTGCTCCTTCCCAGCTTTAATCTGGCCTCCATTTGTAAACTTGGGTCTGGGTCAGGCAGAGCAGGGCAGTAAGGGACACTCACTGCCACCAACAGGGAATAGACAGGCTCCTGTGTCCATCTTCCTCTTCTCCCTTTCAGTAATAGAAGTCCCCAGGTTTCAGTGGGTATGTGGCTCCCCAGCGAGGAACTATATTTCCCAGTCTCCCCTGCAGTGACCATGTGTCTAAATCCTGGCCGAAGGGGTATATGCTGCCTCCAGGTAGGTTCCTTAAAAGGAAGTGCTGTGCCCTCCACTTGCCCCTTCAGGAGGAACTGATGGTGGGTGGGGGCCAGCCTGTCCAAGACAACACCCTGGAGGGATTCAGAACAACCAGATGGAAGGTGCCCGGATTCCATACCCACCCACTCACCCACTCTGGACTCCCACCAGCTCAGGCTTTTGTGGGAAAGATGAAGTTATCCCCGCAATTTCTAGAAGACTGCTCATACTGCTACTCCACAACCTTCTAGCCCAGTATCCTAGAGCATGGAATTGTACCTTTTGAGGCTCAACTGCCTCATATATAACATGAGGATCCTATTGCCAACTTCACAAGGAATCATGAGATAGATTGTGGATAATAAAACCGCACATTTGTTGAGCATCTATTTACCTTGTACCAGGCAGGCTCTGTGCAAAACCATCTACCTCATAAGGTAAGTTTTCCACTTTACAGAGGAAGAACTGACACCCAGAGTAGTTGACATATTTGTCCACAGAGCAGTAAGGTAGAGTGAGGGCTCACCTGTAAGCAGATTGATCTCTGGAACCCAAACTCATGGCCACTCTGTGCTTGCTCTAACCTGCCATTAGCACAGTACCTGGCATCGGGTAACCTCACTCATTCACCAAATGATAGCAAGCACCAACTGAGTTATGGTGTTCTGGGCTCTAAGCAAAGCAGACAGGGTCCTCACACTAACGGAATTTATGACCTGCCAGGAGAGACAGCCACTCTCATATCCTGCATCCAGTTGTGGGGAACAGCACAATCCTTTCACTTCTCATTCAGGGTAAAGAACAAAGATCCTTGATTTACAAGACTGCCTCCCATTCCTCCCCATTTTCTTTCCCTCCATTCTCACTGCCACTCTGAGGGCCTCTGCACTTGATATGCCTGCCAGATGCTTGCATGGCCTCTTCTCATCTCCAGATCTTTACTTAAAAATGACTTCACTGATGCTTTCCCCAGCAACTCCACCTAAAGTGCAACCCCTCCCCAACATACCACACAGTTACTACCTAGTCCCCTTTCTTGCTACATTTTTTTTTTTTTTAAATATATCTTTATTGATTTCAGAGAGAGGTAAGGAGAGAGAGAGATAGAAACATCAATGATGAGAGTCATTGATCAGCTGCCTCCCGCATTTCCCCAACTGGGGATGGAGCCCACAACCCGGGCATGTGCCCTGACCAGGAATCGAACCCCGATCGCCTGGATCCTAGGTTGATGCTCAACTGCTGAGCCACGCCCGGCTGGGCTACATTTCTCTTCTTAGAAAATATTATTTTTTAAATATATCTTTATTGATTTCAGAGAGGAAGGGAAAGGGAGAGAGAGAAACATCAATGATGAGACAGTCATTGATCGGCTGCCTCCTGCATGCCCCCCGCTGGGGATCGAGCCCAAAACCGGGCTTGTGCCCTGACAGGGAATCAACTGTGATCTCCTGGACCATAGGTCAGTGCTTAACCACTGAGCCACATCTGGCCAGACAGCACATACTATTTTTTAGAATAGCTTTTATTGGGGTATAAGTTACATAAAACTCACCCCTTTCAAATGTACAATTCAGTGGTGTTTAATAACTTTACCAAGTGGTGCAACT